CCTGCCTCCCTTTGGCAGGCTCAGGAGGCACACCCGTAGTACATAGGAAGTTCCCATGCACTTCACGGGTAGGTAGTGTCAGTAGGCAAGGGTAGTCTTCAGGATTCGGCCGCAACACTCAGGAGGAGCGCTGCAGTAGTCTTCAGCGCTAGGCAGTAGGTATTAGCGCTAGCTGTAGTCTTCGGCGCTGGGCGCCATAGCTGTAGCTGTAGTCTTCAGCACTGGGCGCTGGTAGGTGGTAGATCGTAGAGTGGGAGAGAGACTGGCGGAGGCCAGTGTTACTTACCTGTGGCGCCATCGCTCCAGCTCCATCTTCGTGGTACCTGCATCAAGGCGCCAACTTCACAGGTTAGTACTGGACACAGAGAGAGACATAGTTGTGACTTGAGACTTGACGACATTGGATACAGACTTGACATTTGGGATTCATACATTCCGACGAGGGACTAATTGGGCTTGTGCCGAAGACTTGGTGTTGACGACATTCCCATCTTCCCCCTCCTCTTCGTCTATCCCCTTCCTCTTCGTCTGTGTATGGTATGGGCTGGCGCAGTCTTCCTGTGTGAAGCGCCAGGCCCATTTCACACCAGGTAACGATGATGATGATGTATGTTCAGGGCTGCATTTCAACATTGATTGTTCGGATCACTGGTATCTAAGTCCTTCGCTGTGTTATCTTGTACTTTGTATTGAAAGGTCGGTTCTTGTTCTGGTCTGCACGTTACAGTATGCAACAGCGTGGGAGATGTGGCGACAGCGGATGTATGTATGATGATGAGAGTATGCTGACATGGCATTTTTGGTTGAGGTGGCACTGCATTGCATTGTGGGTGGTACCAAGGCTAATGACCGGTCATCGAAATGCATGTCGGCCCAATTGGTGAGAAATCTGTGGTTAGGGGCAAGTATCTCCAGGTACGTTGTTCCCATTCCTTATCTACCCTCTCAATCTCTTCTTACCATGAGGAAATGAGTCCAACTTGAGTGTCCTCTCTTTGGTGAGGAGTCGTGTGCGCTCTACCTTGAGAGACGACATTCTTCCCGGTGGCGCATCTGGCAGGAGAGGGCGGTGCCTCTGAAAGGCCCTCGTCGAAGCACAGGTCACGGTCACCATGCCAACCCATGGGTAATAGTACACGCAGGCCATGCTGCTTTGTCCATTGAGGTTCTTTGCTGCGCTGATAGAAGGAGTGTGTGGACTGACCAGTCATACGTAAACGCTCCCAGACTGTCTATAAACATTTCTGGTTGGGGTATGAACTATCCACTGGCTGTGATCGTCGTCCTGATTGCGACGTGGGCAACCTATCAGCCCCGATGCCTATCATTGTTGTTCGGTCCAAGTTACCTGCCCATTGGTAGGGTAATGGTCCTGAGTGCTGGTCACACTGAGGTAGGATAGTGGGATAGAAGTGTCATTTCGTCAAAATGGACATCTTTTATTTTTTGAACGAAATTGAAACCGAGTTTTTTGGCTGAAAACTTGTCAAAATTTGATGTTCCTGAGGGTCCGGCGTTTGTAAGATGTTCGACCCCCTGGCTGTACATGGACCTAGCTTGAGACCTGTCCCTGGTCTCAAGCTAGGTCCATGTACAGCCAGGGGGTCCAGCGTTTTACAAATGCCGGACCCTCAGGAACAACAAATTTTGACGAGTTTTCGGCCAAAAAACTCGGTTTCAATTTCGTTCAAAAAATAAAAGATGTCCATTTTGACGAAATGGTCGCTATAGGGGGTGCGCTAGGAGTATTGACGTGAGGATGGGATGGGAGGTGGTCTCATATTCCAGGACACCCACGGCCTACTGCTCTAGGTGATCACTGTGTACTCAGTGACTAGCCTCTACAACACCGTGAACTTAAAAAAAAAAAAAAAAAACTCTGAGCCTGTTTTGTCGACCCTGAATTTCACTGCGCTCCGAGTTTGTCGAGCCTGGGTACCACTTCATTTTTTTTGTGGTACTCTCACGGAAAGAAAAAAAGAAAAAAAAAGAAAAAAAAGTTGCGGCCGTGAACTCGAAAAAAAAGAAAAAAAATAAATGAAACAAAGCTTTGGTCGTGATTACAGTTGTATACATTCTTGGAAATGGTAGTGTGAGTGTGCCCTCCGTGAGGGCTTCTCAGCCCCGTGGCCAGGTTGTCAGATTCGAAAAAGAGAATAGAAGGGGGGGAAAACGGCCACACAGATCCGACCGTGAAAATGGCTGGATACATTCCCCTTAGTACCAGTGTGATGGGTGTTACAATCCTCTGACAAAACACAGCTTGAGCAGATCACAGACGGCTTGAGCAATTCACAGATTCCCCCCTGCCTCATTGGCAGGGGACTTATAAGAAACACATGAGCAAGAAAAAAAAGAAAATAGGAACATCCAGAATGTGACCGCCTTACCGGTGAGGTGCATTCTGTGGAGAAAGACTCTGAGCACGGCATCCAAGACTACCCTGCCCGACATCATAGCAGTAGAGATGATATTTTCTTTTTTTCCTTTTTCTTTCATTCGCGGGCAATATAAAAATCTGATTTATGGGACAGTGCCGACCCTGTATCCCACCCCCGATAACTTCGGAAACTGGCAAAACATCGTAATTTCCAAACACTGGCGGAAGTACTAGTGGTTTAAAGAATTCATGAGGACTCTCGGGGGTTGTCCTTAAATTGCCTCTTGATCAGCCAGGTCAGTCAAACGTAAGGCTCGTTGCACGCGAGGGTAAACAAAGGGCAGGCTGGTCATAAGCATACTTCTTGGGCATAGGGGTGGGCCGTGGTTGCACACCTTAGACACCGCAACTTGATGATGCTCACAGGTACATTGGATACAGGGGAAGGGGATTCCAATTGAGAACTCAACTGTACATCACTCTCTTATCCATTGTGCATACATCTGTTCACTGTAGTTTATTTTTATCTTGATTAGTTGGTTGACAGACTGCTAACACCTAACATACAACCTAGAGTAGGACTGTAATCTACCATAGTCAGTTCTTCTCAAAGCTTATAAGCAGAACTAATGAAAGATAGAGGTGAACTACATGTGTACAGTTTGTGTAGGTGTTGTTGATGCCACTTGACTAGTAGTCTAGGTAACTCGTCGAGCATCGATTAATTTTATTTATTTTTAGAACCGGTCAGACGCATATTGCGGTAGGTCCCAAAGAGGACATTAGTGCAGACTATGTCTGCCTAGCCCATGAGTGGATCAGAGGGTGCTGAAGGGACAACTGACGATAGGAGGCAGACACAACGGGAGACTGGTAGGATACCCGTTGTGCTCCAGGTTCTACTACCAGGAGACGAGAGAAGGCTTAGGGCCGAAGCAAGGGCCCGTAATCTAGAGACTGCGAGAGAGGCAGCAGCAACGGCTCAACGGGCGTTGGCATCAGCAGCAGCTAGCGCAGTAGCAATGGCTACCACTTCAGCCACTTCTGGTGCAAACTCCACTGGTTAGAGTTTGGGCATGCCACTCAACGCGACCAGTTGACAGTCCATTTCCAGTACGCCAGGAGCTGGCACTATTCAGATGGCGGGCTCGCAGTTCAACTCGCCGCCTCCACACACCCAGGAGCAGATGGAGCTCCAGCAAGTAGAGAGGATTCGTTTGAGGCTAGAGGAGGAGCTTAAACAGGCTACTAAGAGAGGAAAGGAGATTAGAGACAGGAGTGTCAGACTGGAGGGTAGGGAGGCAGACAAAGCTGCACTGGAAGGGTTAGATGACTCGACCCTTAATAATACTGAAAAGATTTTTAAGGCGAGCATCCTGTCCATGCACGCATACATGGACAGCAAACTGGATACAATCCAGGACACCTTAGACCAGATCTTGAATGCCATGCATAAACCAGGTATCAAGCCAACAGTTTTGTCATCGCTGTCATTCTAAGTGATGACAAGTCCCTATGCTGCTCAATCCGGACCATCACCAAGTAGTACATCATCGGAAGCCCTATCTCAAACTGTTGCTTTTTCATCTTCTGGTCCAACGACTGGAGCTACACCACAGTCGCCACATGTCCCGCCAGCGGGACAGCAATTACCTTGGTACCCCAAGACCCCCCTGAAACCACCTCCAACCTTCTCAGGAGACAAAAAGGATGAGGCTCTTGACACGTGGTTGATAACGGTTCCAGTGTGGGTAAGGGCAAAGAGTACATTGGTAGAAGAGGAAGTGATAACGGCTGCATCCTACTTAGAGGGTTCAGTAGCTCGCTGGCTGAATGGATTGGTAGCTTCAAAGGGTTTCGGCAGGAACATGGGTGATTGGGCACAGACCCACACCCTGGAGAGCTTTATGGACTTAGTGGAGGCTCGTTGGCACAACCCTCAGCGGGCACAGATTGCCACTGATGGGCTTTTAAAGCTTGATGCTAGAAAGTACAAGTTGGTGCGAGAACTTACCACAACCGTAGAGCGCCTGATCGTGGTCCCAGGAGTGGAGTACAATTCACAAGTCTTATTGACTACGTTCTTAAGATGTCTTCCCACAGACATCAAGAACTTGCTGGCCAGCGAGGCTCAGCGTGAGTATCATACCTTTGAGACATTCAGCAAGAAGGCCCTAGATTTAGAGGCTACACTGGGTAGTGCTCAGACCCCTTCTACGGACGGGAGAAAGAAGAAGACTTCACAGGAATGGAAGAAGAAGGGTAGTCGGTTGATGATGCTTGATTCTGAAGGGAATCAAATTGAGATCGATGATGTTTTTGAACTTGTGGAGGGTTCAAAGTTAGACGTCGAGGAGAATGTTGAGGATAGCAACCTCGCCGCAACAGTTAAGACTAAGGCAGGTGGCAGCGGCAAGGGCGGTCAACAAAGAAGTCAGGGGCAGACCGCTAACACAAACAAATAGCTGCTTGGGTTAGAGCAGGCTTGGATCAAGAAGTGTGGCGGGACCGTTGGTCGAGTGGTGCTTGCATAAACTACGACGAGTATGGCCATACACAGTTTAATTGCAAGAACACAAAGGTCTCGCAGAAGATCCCTCCTAAGGGTAGGTATCCTTCTTCTCAGTCTGGGGCCTCTACGAGCTCCAGCTCGAGAAACACTTAGGGCCGGTAGAGTTGTAGTTGCTTCTACTCTAGTTGAAGCGGGTGATGTACCCTCCCCGTTTCAAGAGTTGGCCAAAGCTATTGACTCCTTAGTCACCCCGCAGACGCATCCGGACCCAACTATACTCTGTATGTTAGATGTGTCTGAAGCCTTAGAGGACCTTCAAGGTGAGTGGTCGGCAAGAGACCCTCGTGAGTCATGGGTGGCACTAAGTGGAGGTCCTAGAGGGGAGCACTTCGTTGTGGAAGTTGGCGTGGGTGGTCGCAAGTGCGGCGCCTTCGTAGACATTGGCTCCACGCGAAACTTCATAAGTCGCGACTGCGTTGAGAAACTGCGCCTAAAGGACCAGGTGCAGCGCCTTAGTAGACCGGTAGCATCTACTTTGGCCAACAAAGAGCGCATGATGGTGGAGGACTAAGTTAAAGATGTAGTCTACACTTTCTCCTACCCAGGAGGAGAGTTAAATCATAGGATATCATTCCCGGTGAGCGACAATCTGCCCTTTGACATGTTGTTGGGCATGTACTACCTCGAGGTTGCCAAGCCCCAGTTTGACTGGGACAAGAAGGTGTTGAAGCACGAGTTGCCTAATGGGAGGACCGTGAGACTGACCAAGTATAAAGCCAGTAGGTTAATAGACTCCTATGGGTGCTTATGCGCATCAGCCTTCTATAACTATATAAACAGAACCAAGAGGAAGGAATGTACTTAGTCTATGTCTCTGCAAAAGGGGAGGTCGTTAAAACGCCCCAGAGATAGAGACAATCGTCGCTAAGTACCCTGATTTGTTCCAGGAGCCCAGGAGTCGTAGACAAGAAGGTTGTCCATGCCATAGAGATCATCCCAGGTAGCAAGACGCCTAAAGGGAAAATCTATAGGATGGCTCCGACCGAGTTGGACGAGCTTGATCGACAACTGGAAGAGCTCACAAAAAAGGGTTGGATTCGGCCTAGCACATCCCCCTTTGGCTCACCAGTCTTATTTGTTCCAAAGAAAGGGGGAACACTAAGGATGTGCATTGATTATAGAGGCCTCAATGCCATCACCATTTAGAACGCAGAGCCTCTACCCCGCATCGACGACCTATTGGATAGGGTGCAGGGATGTAAGTATACAAAGATAGACTTAAAATCCGGCTACCATCAGATTGCCATAAGACCAGAGGACCATCACAAAATCGCATTTCAGACCAGGTACGGTCTGTACGAGTTTGTGGTGATGCCCATTGGCCTTTGCAATGCACAGGGTACATTCCATCATGCCATGAATAGGATCTTCCATGACTACTTAGATAAGTTCGTCGTGTACCTCAACGATATACTTATCTTTAGTAAGACTGTCGAGGAGCATGCTCAGCATGTAGACAAAGTCCTCTCACTCCTTCGGCAGCACAAGTATAAGATAAACAAAGAGAAATGCGAGTTCGGTCGCACTCGAATCTTGTACTTGGGTCATGAAGTATCCGCGGATGGGATTAGGCCCGAAGATGCAAAGGTGGCTAGCATACGTGACTGGCGGTGAGATCATTTTTGGGAATGTGTGGTTATTACGGCAACTTCGTAAAGAATTATAGTACGATCGCATCTCCCTTGACTGATCTAACTTGACTTCACACACCATGGAACTGGACTGACGAGTGTGAGGCAGCTTTCGAGCGTTTGAAGCATGCTCTCACACACCATGAGGTTCTCATGGTACCCGACTCGCAAAGGTCATTTGTTGTAACCACTGGTGCAAGCCACTACGGCATTGGCGCAGTGTTGGCTCAACAGGAAGGGAAAAAGTTGAGACCGGTCGAGTACATGAGCAAAAAGATGCCATCAAAGAAGTTGGCAAAGTCCGCCTACGAGAGAGAACTCTATACTCTCTACAAGGCACTTGTCCACTGAAGGCACTATCTGTTAGGAAGGTTCTTCTACTTGAGAACTGACCACCAGACCCTCAAGTGGATCAAGACACAACACGTTCTCTCCGATGCACTCAAACGTTGGATTGAAGTCATAGATCAGTATGACTTCAAACTAGACTATGTGAAAGGATAGTACAACAAGGTTGCAAATGCGTTGTCTAGAAGGTCAGATTACCTGGGTGCGCTGATTTCTGAGTTTGGCTTATCTAAGGATGTGACCCAATCTTTGGCGGAAGCCTACAAGGAAGATCCCATCACGATGGACATCATCAACAAACTGCAGGCCAAAGACAAGGTCACCACTGACGAGTTTGTGATGGTGGATGTGTTACTCTTTCTTGAAAAGGCAGGGTTCAAAAGGTTAGTTGTTCCATCTAGGGAGATTTTGCGTACTTTATTTTTAGGTGAGTGCCACGACGCAACGGGACATTTCGGTTACAAGAAGACTAATGCTAACTTAGTACAACGATTTTGGTGGCCTAACATGCTGGATGATGCAAAGAAGTACGTACAGACTATGTTCCCCCCTGGCCGCGGCCGAGTTCGGTCATGACCGCAACCGCCGGCCGTGACCGGGACCCCCCCGGTCATGACCGCTCCGGTCATGAACTTCCGGCCGCGGCCGCGACCGATCGGGAAGGGGGTTTCGGGAGCGGGGAGCGAGTTTGGGTGGGGGGGGGGGGCGGGGCACCCCCTCGAAGTGGCGGACCGACAAAAAAATAAAAAACGGGGGGGTCCTAAACATGGGTCTGGCAGGGTGGGCCAGGAAAATTCATGCGTCCCCCGAACTACGGTTCGTCGACGCAGGTGCATAGAGGGGGGGGTCGGCAACACATGAAAAATATATATATATATATATTATATTTGACGATATATATATATATATATATATATATATACATCGTCACAAACAGAACTGCCCGGTAAACCGTTGGTAGAGAGAGAGAAGAGGACAACAAACGAGGGGCTGTGACAAACTGTTTCGTCGGAGTCTGCTCCTGGTGCGCGCGCACGTGCCGCGCAAAGAAGAAGAAGAAGAAGAAGAAGAAG